TCTTGGAGGAGAATCTATAACTGCCACCTCACTAAACCAGAATAATTCATAGCTACATAATATGTATATTCATGTCCACAGATAAGGTATACAGGTCTTAGCCTTCATCAAAGAAATTGCTTCTTTAAAAAGATGTAGAACATTATAGGAAACTATAACTAATCAAAATGCAGATAACAAGTGAGCACATGGTGCCCAGCCCCAACTGGTACACAACTCCTGTACTTAAGGCTCTGAGATCCCACCTGAAGGAGGAGAAAGACCGTGAAAGCCAGAGGAACAGGAAGTTTATGGTAAAATTTTGTCTTTTGAAGTTACACTCATGAAGTCTAATCAACATAGCTTCATAAACAAGACCTGAACAAGAACAATGCCAATAAATGTGCTAACATGGAAAGGGGAAACCATATGGGGCTCAACCCTAGATGAAGAACTATAGTCAATTAAGGAATGTTCAGAGTGGTAAAAATAATCTTCCCCCAAGCTAATCATCCAAAACCAAATGGTCAGCCCTGAAATCATAGGTAACATTCCACAGATTGATCAGGTTTATTATATTGGGAATATATATTACATATATATGTATAAACAAATAAATGCAGGCCATGAATTTGAAAGAGAGCAAGAGGCTACATGGGTATAAAAAGGGATGGGGAAATGATGTAATTATATTTTAATTTCAAAAAATGCTTAACAAAACAAAGAAAAACCCTTCTTGACAGTTGATTGAAGATTTGCATGAAGTCAACAACTAAAACAATTATCATAATAACCTGAAGTCCAGCAATTTCAATCTTACGTTTATAGCTAGAGAAATATATGAAAAATGCATTAACAGATTCAAAAGAAAGAGTGTTCTTAGAACCCACAAACAGTCAAAATGTCAAAAATATTTCTAGCAGAATATGGTCTTTTTATTAAATAAGCTACTCTAAAACTGGTGAAATTACAGTCACACAACAACACAGAAAATCTTAGAAACAAAATATTAGGTTAATGAGACATAAGGGAAAACTTAGTTTAAATTTTTATTTGTACCAACATTAACAAGAGCAAAATCAAACTGTTGTAAAGCAATAATAATCATTATAATAAAATAATAGTTAGCTTTGGGAAGCTAGAACCATTAGGAAAGGTGAGATATCAGAAAGGGCTTTCAGAGTGCTGGAAATGGTCTAAGTCTTTGAAGTTGCAACACTGATTAAAACATACCTAATGTTTAATCTTTTCCAATCAGTGTGTTATGCCTCATAGTCAGCACGTACAAACAAGACTAGGACAAGGAAGTTTTCATTATTAGAAACAAAATCTGTACTGGAACTTGTAAAGTAGAAGGAGGAGGATAATAGCTAATCATTAAATCCACCTAAATTAAATAATCAAATCCATAAAAGTCAGAAAAGAGCATAGCAAAGTAAAATGGTAAGTAAGAATTGAATAAAATGGGTACATGTGATCAAGCATTTTGGGCATTGTACTAAATGTAAATGATACAATTTTTACCTTAAAATAAAGTTATTATCTCATTAGGCTTAAAAAGAAATACTCCTTCATATGTTCTTATTAAGATTCATATTTCAGGTAATGAATAAACATTAAAAGTATAGATATAGACAAACAAATATTCAAACATAATTTTAAGACAAGCTTTTTGTCTTTAATAGACATTTCTTTGAAATTTAGTTAAAAGAAATAAATATGGTAGAAAAATATTATGCAATGACATACAACAATTTATGAATTTGTTATCCCACAGTAAATAAAAAATAAGAAAATTCCATAATAGTTTAGAGAGCAAAGAGGAAAAAAATGAGGTGAATTCTAAGATTGCCCTCATCACACCATCGGGAAGTAATTTCTATGATGCCGCATAGAAAGAAGAAAGATAACAGGGCCCAGTGACCTCACAATACAAGGGAGGCAGAAGTCAGAGTAGAAAGATCCAGGAAAATATAATTTCCAGATAAGAGTACAGAACTAAGAAATGCATAGAAATGAGCTCTGGGCATCAGCAGTGGAGTCTTATCTATTCTTTGGTTGAGTATTAATAACCATGTGCATTGGGTAAAATGCCACAAAGCCATGGAAACAATAGCCAAAAATGTCTAAGTAAAATAATTTAGAGAACTCACACAGACTAGAAATGTTTCAAGCTTCCACCAGTCAGGAAAGTCAGAGATCTTAAGACACAGAGCACTGGGTAATGGTTTCAGGAAGAGTTTGCATTAATAAAGCACTGAGTCCATTGTCTTTAACACAGCATGTTTGACACTTTGAGGTGGTGATTCTTTGTTGTGGATAGCTGTGCTATGGTTTGAAAAATGTTTAGTGCCAATTATAAGATGCACAATGGAATTCCTGTCCGATGTCTCAAAATGCCACTACATTTGGGATCCCAGTTTTAACAATCAACAGTACAGGCAGGTTACAAAAAGAAGAAAATAAAATTCACACAGGAAGAAAAATAACAGAAGGAAACCATGAAATGAACAATGTTCAAATCATCAAACAATAGCGTCAATCCTTATTGGCGTGGCTCATGGCATAGTGGCACAAACTTTAAATCACCACACTCAGGAGGCAGAGGCAAGTGGATTTCTAAGTTCAAGGCCAGTGTGGTCTACAAAGTGAATCCGGGGAACAGTCAGAGCTATACAGAGAAACCCTGCCTCAAAAAAGAAGAGTGTTAAATGTCTATTATGAATACACACATATACTCAAGAATAGACAGGGCGAGGGAGAGGACTTGGTGGTCAAGGGCATGAGTTTGATCCCCAACTCACATGAAGAATGAAAAGAGATGGCAGGTGGTGGTGCACATCTTTAATCCCAGAACTCCAGAGGCAGAGGCAGGTGGATGTCTGTGAGTTCAAGGCCAGACTGGTCTACAAAGTGAGTTCCATGACATTCAGGGTTGTTACACAAAGTTATACTATCTTGAAAAAAAATAAAAACATTGGTGGCCTTTAATCTTAGCACTCAGGAGGCAGAGACAGGCGGATCTCTGTGAGTTCGAGGCCAGCCTGGTCTACCAAGTCAGTTCCAGGACAGCCTCCAAAACAATACAGAGAAACCCTGTCTCATAAAAACCAAAAAAAAAAACCCCACACTTTGGAAAGTTACTCTACCAATCCAGAAAGGACACACACACACACACACACACACACACACACACACACACACACACACACAAATGATAGCAATTTTCTCATCAGAAATTAAAGTGGCTTTGTTGGTGGAGTATAATGAGTATTGGAGAAAACCTTCAGGCACAGGGAAATGATACCAAATGCATATTTGAATTTACACAAAACAACAAACTTCACTGAGAAAATGTTAACATCTAGAGTATGGCAGGCATATAGAACACTGAATACGTGTTTCAGTAGTGAATTACTATATTTTTTTCTGGCACTGGCGATAGGATCCAGAGCATGTCATACAATATATACCGTTCACACACTGAACCACATCTCCAAACCCATGAATTTCTGTATAATATTTAAGAACCTTTTAAGTTGGACCTACAGAGCTTGAAGTCCATAAAAGAAAAAAACAGATGTATTTTAATACATAAATTTTAATGCTTATATTGCAAAGCAAGCCAATTTATAGAAATTATAGAGAAATCTGTTACATAGCAATCATACAGAGAAGTTTAATAAAATTAAGATGCAAAAATTAAAATTAAATTTAAAAACAGGGTGATGGAGAGATAAGTCAGAGGTTAAGAACACTGACCGCTCTTCCAGGGCACCTAGGTTCTGTTCCCAGAACCTACATGGAGGCTCATAGCCACCTCTAACTCCGGTTCCAGAGAATCTGACGCCCTCTTCTGGTTACTTCAGGAATGAAATGCATGTGGGCCATAGACACAATCTGGCAAAACAGCCGTATACATAAGATAAAATAAGATAATTTTTAGAAACACAAGAAATTGTGGACGGGAGTTTTGAAAAAAAACCCACAGACTGAATGTCAGGTTTAAGTAACTATATATATATATATATATATATATATATATATATATATACATATATATATATGCTCAAGTCTATGTGATGCAGGAATTGACAATTAAATTCACAAAGTGTTTCTCATAGAGAGACCCTAGAGGATGGCAAAGGAAAGACCAACTAGAAAAATCTTAAAAATAAATAGGGAGTGGGGACGGAGGCCTTTACTCACAACACTAAGGAGGCAGAGGCAGGCATTCTCTGTGAGTTCCAGGACAGCCACAGTTACATGAGGGAACCTGTCACAATCAATCATTCAATTAATCAATCAATGCACAGGGCGGGGGGGGGGGGACATTTGCTACCAAACATGGTGGATTGCACCTGAAATCCTAGCACTCTGGAATACAGATGAAAGGATCGACAAGACCTGACAAGATCCTAAGTCAAGGGGGGGAAAAGGCATATAGGAGTGAAAAGTTACAAACTCTTTAAAAATAGTGTGTGTGTGTGTGTGTGTGTGTAGGTATCTATGTACATTAAGACTAAAATTTTAAATGATTTAGCCTCACTACAATATTTTGTAAAATGTTTCCACTCCCATTAATTGGTTTTATTTAAAATGCCAAATACAAAACAAGCATGTCAAGCTATTAAGAGTACCAAAAACAAAAAAAAAGGAACACAAGACTAATTTATTCCAGATTGTGACACTTTAGTATGGTTTCTGACAATATTTCATTAGTTAGTGGACAACCCAATGCCAATAATGAAAAAATTTTAATTAGACTAAAAGGAAAGATATCGTAGATCAGCAACTGTTTAGAGAGGTTAAAAATAGGCTGGGTGGTGGTGTCCCAAGCCTCTAATTTCAGCATTCAGGATGCAGAGGCAGGTGGATCTCGGTGAATTGGAGGCCAACCTGTTCTACAGAGTTAGTACTAGGACAGCCAAGGCTACACAGAGAAACCCTGTTTCTAGATTTAAAAAAAAGGAAGAAGGAAAAAGGGTTAAAATTAATGAAAACAATGATTATGAGCTTACCTCTTGCAAATGTTCTATAAGCCTGTCTTTCTGGAATGTCTCCTCTGCAGAGCCTAGCATGGGAGGGAGACTTGGGCTGAAGGCCATGAGGTCTGTCTTGGGCAGACCCTCTCCAGAGAACACCCTCTGCCGCCTCTGTTGTGAGTAAGACCAGGTCCCCACTTCGCTGGAGCACACCAGCACGGGCTTCCCTGGCCCATGCACGCTCTCCGTGGGCGTCGCCGAGCACCGCAGCACGGTGTACAACAGCAAAGTGAGCACCAGCAGGCTGGACACCGCGCAGATGGCGATGATCAGGTACACGTTGACAGTCACCAGCGACGCCTCAGAAGATTCAATGCTCTTGGAAGCCAGAGAAGAGATCTTGGGTGCCTGGCCGCTATCCACCAGAGACACTAGCACCGTGGCTGTGGCTGTCAACTCAGGCTCACCATGATCCTTAACCAGCACCAGCAGACGTTGGCGCTGCACGTCAGCTTCATCCAGGGCGCGCGTTGTGCTGATTTCGCCAGTGTACAGACCCACACGAAATGGACTGCGCGTGCCTCCTGCCGCTACCTGCAGCTCATAAGACAGCCATGCATTGTACCCAGAGTCTGCATCCACTGCGCGCACCTTTGTCACCACGTGCCCTGAATCCACTGACCTAGGCACAAGTTCGCTCACTGCTCTGCCGGCTCCGACAGCTCCGTGGGGCAGCAGCGCGGGCGCATTGTCGTTCTCATCCAGCACGAACACCTGCAGAGTCACATTGCTGCCCAGGGCAGGCACACCAGCATCGCGCGCGTTCACCTGGAACTGCAGCAGCTCCAGCTCCTCGTGGTCCAGAGGCTGCAGCGCGAACACCTTGCCGCTCTCCGCGTGCACAGACACGAAGCTCGACAGCAGGCGCTCGCCCACCCTCCGCTCCACCAGAGAGTAGGACACCAGCGCGTTCTCCTGCGCGTCCGCGTCCGTGGCCGACACCGTGAAGATGCGCGCGCCAGGCGGGTTGTTCTCCTTCACGAACACCGTGTACTCGGGCTGCGCGAACGCGGGCGCGTTGTCGTTCACGTCAGCCACCTGCACGGACACGCTGGCGGTGGCCCACAGCGAGGGCGAGCCCGCGTCCCGGGCGGTCACCACCACCTTATAGTCAGCTGTGGTCTCTCGGTCCAGGGCGCCGTCCAGCACCAGCGAATAGTAGTTCTTGAAGGTGGACACCAGCTTGAAGGGGACGTGAGGGCTCAGGGAGCAGGTCACCTGCCCATTGTCACCAGAGTCAGGATCGGACACACTGATCAGAGCTAAGACAGTGCTTGGCTGGGCATCTTCTCTGACTGGAAGTGACAGGGAAGTGATCGTGATCTCTGGTGCATTATCGTTTACATCCAGTACCTGCACCAGAAGGGTACAATGGCCTGTCATTGGGATATTCCCTTTGTCCACTGCCTCCACGGGTATCTCATATACTTTATTTTCCTCGAAATCTAGTTGGCCTTTCATTCTAACTTCTCCACTCTTGGGGTCTACACTGAATGCACGCCCCACTGCAGGGGATACTGGCCGCCTGAAGGAGTAGATTATATCTCCATTTATACCCTCGTCAGGATCTGTGGCGTTTAAGTTAATCACCAGTGTTCCATTGCGTGCATTCTCTGGCACTCTGACTGTGTAAATGAACTGATCAAACTCTGGAGCATTGTCGTTCACATCTAGGATGGTGATGAGCAGCTGAACTGTGCCAGTCAGCTCCGGTCTGCCTCCGTCACTGGCTGTTAGAAACAAACTATGTTCCTTAATTTCTTCTCGGTCTAATGATTTCTTTAACACGAGCGATAATGAAGAAGTCTGCTCACGGTTGTTTTGCATGTTCAAACCGAAATAATCACTGGGATCCAAACGGTAGGTCAGGGCGGAGTTGACTCCGATATCTGCATCCGATGCGCCATCTAGTGGAAATCTAGTTTCTGGAGGTCTTGATTCCGCAACCATTATGCTTTTGCTGGTTTCGGGGAACATGGGCGGGTTGTCGTTAATGTCCCTCACCTCCACCTCCACGTGGAAAACCTGCAGCGGCCGGTCCACGATCACCTCCAGGTGGATGCTGCACTCCACTCTCCGCCCGCACAGCGCCTCCCGGTCGATCCGAGAGTTCACAAACAAAATGCCATTCTGCAGATTTACCTCCAGAAGGTCCCCGCGGTCCCTGGACGCCACCCTGAACAGGCGGGGCACCAGCTCCGCCAGCTCCAGCCCCAGGTCCTGCGCGATGCGGCCCACGAAGGTGCCGTGTTTAGCCTCCTCGGGGACGGAGTAGTGGAGCTGGCCGCTCCCTGCCTCCCAGGCTGAGAGGAGAAGCCAGAGTAGGAGGCACCCGGATCCTGGGCTACTTTGCCAGGATAAAAACATGGTACACGCAGAAAGATTCAGCGATAGCTACAGTATACAGAATGCCTTACCTGAAGCTGCCTCTAAAAAACTGGTTTGACGACGTCCTAGCACTGGAGAATTCACGAGTTCTCTGAAGGAAGTGACTTTCTTTGCAAAACAGAAAGTTCTCAGTGAAGAGCGACATCATGAGGCATGAATGTGTATGCGGCGATCTCTGGGGCTTCATATTTTCCATCGATATAAGCCTTTATTCCTTGCATTTTCTTAATTTTCCATTTCAAGTATGTATTTAAGAGTTAAATATTTGCCCTTCCAGAAACAGCAAATTATTTACTCTATCAGCATCAGGTGTTACTTAACAAGTGGTATATGTCTTGCAATATCCTGCAAACTTGTGTGTGTGTGTGTGTGTGTGTGTGTGTGTGCGCGCGCGCGCGCGCGCGCGTGCGAGTGTGGTGGGGTGTGAAATTTTAAATTAGTGAACGTTATACACGTGGCTTTGGTCTCTAGTTCTCATAGTCATGCAAGTTTTGTTAGCAATATTCTTTCCCTGTAATCATTTCAAGACCTTCTCCCATTAATTCCAAATGGAAGCATAACGATTGTATAAAACACATGAGGCAGAAGGTGGGCAGTTATATACTAGAATTCAAGTAATACACCATGTTCACAAGTTCCAAGAGTAGATGCAATGTCTGTACTTTAAACGATGTGCCTACATGTAGTATGTTTGTGTGTGTACAGGAATCTACATAAAACAATGATGTTTTCAGTTCACCTTGTAGAAAACATACCAAGAACCAGATCCTATTTGTTAGTATAACTTAATAAACTTTCTTTTTTTCCCTGCCACATCTTAATTTCACCATCAGTAGAAGAAACTCTGGTATTGCTTAACTCTGATTTTCCAAGTGCGTGACAGTAGCTAGACAATGATGCTAATACATCCTTAGCAAAAGAATATCACTGTTATTGGTTATTATAGCTACCAAGTAATAAAGTGCCAGGCCAAACAGTACAATGGAAGATATATTTTATATGTTATAAATGTAGGGGCTTGACAGATAGCTCAGCAGTTAAGAGCACTGGGTGCTCTTCTAGAGGTCTGGAATTCAATTCCTGGCAACTACATATTGACTTACAACCATCTATAAAGGGATCTGAAGCCCTCTTCTGGTGTGCAGGCAGACATGTAGACAGAGCATATATATACATAAAATACATAAACAAATAAACCTTAAAATAAATGTAAATTATATATGGCTCCAACTTTATATTACAAATTATGTATCTAAGTATGACATTGCCTTGTCTGTGAATGAATGCCTCTATAGGAGATAACCATGGGGTTCATTTCTGTATCTCTACTCACCTCTGAAAATCCATGTGGGCCATTGCATTGTCTTGCCCACACAATCCTCTCGTGTTCCATTATTTCTACCACATGCTTTACTCTTGTCTCGGGAATAGTTCCTTGATTCTTCCTGATGCTCCATGTCCACCAGGATATAACTTTACATAGTAACTAATGTAATTAAATTAAGAATAATTTATCCTGGAGAATCCAGGTCAGCATAAGTGCCTTTACATGTGTCCTTATTAAACAAAAACACAGCTAAGAAGGCATGAAGAAGAGAAAACAATGACTATAAAGACAGAAATTAAAAGTGATATAGTCACAAGCCAAGGAATGTCAAGCCACCAGAAACCAACAGAAGCAAAGAATAGGGTTTTTTTCTCTCCTGCTCTATTATTTCTAACATGCATTACTCTTGTAATGGCTACAGTCCCTTGATTCTTACAAATGCTTTATGTCTTCACTTTGTACTTCTGTCCTCAAAATCTGTGAGACAAATCTGTGATCACTTGTTACAGCAGTGTCAGAAATGAATGTATGTGCCTACCTAAATCCTTTTCTTCAATATTACTTTTCATTTTTCTATCTGTTTCCTAGTGAGTTCTGTCCTTTCATGGACTTAAATTTTCTGGAAGGAATTATTCTTCAATGTGTGTGTATAGCAACGCCCTAGGAGTTCTAGAACAATCTGAGTAACAATGCTATTCCATCACAAATGTTCTTAAATTAGGAACAGGTTCTTAAGCGTCCCTCTGGATTCCTACCTGCTCAAACACATATAAGCCACTTCCCCCAGTACACCAAACTAAAAATATATATGCCACTGTGTTTTTGTTGTGGGAATCTTTCTAGCATGAGCATTCCCACACCAGTGAGAGCAGATGTCACTGATGGTGAAAGCAGATGTCGCTAGTGGCAAAAGTCAGGAGGGTCTGAAAGGTCTTCCTCACAGTACAGTACAAATTCTCACTTTATGCTCTAAGCCCACAAAGCAGGAAAAACAAGAAAGTGGGATTTTACAGCAGCCTAAGTGGTGGTCAGCGCATTGTTTAAGGAAGCAGCCCATTGTCTCAGCTGTTTCTCCAGGTCGTTCTGTCCCAGGTGCTAATGTTTGGCAAGTATGCAATACAAGTAATGCTTTAAGTAAATCACTAAATAAACCAATTAATCCATATGTGATAACTGGGGTTTTCTACCTTATTTTACTTTATTTGTATTTCTCTTATCATTTATATGCCTTTTTTTTTCTTGAGACAGGATCTCTATATACAGCTCTGACTGTCCTGGAGCACATTAGGTAGACTAACCTGACCTCAAAGTCACAGAGATCCCCCTGCCTCTGCCTGTGCCTCCAGGGGTAAAACCACGACTGGATTTATCATTTATATTGAGTCAAACATCATCTGGATGCTTCCCTTTGCTAGTCTGGATTAGCATATAGTTCTTTCAATTCATTCCTACCACAGATGTTTAAATTTCCACTGCTCAGCCAGGTGTGGTTGTTCATGCCTTTAATCCCAGCACTCAGAGCTGGGCAGATCACTGAGTTCAAGGCCAGCCTGGGCTACAGAGCAAGTTCCAGAACAACCTGAGCTACAGAGAGAAACCCTGTCTTGGGGAGGGTGGCTCTATATGCTTGATACCTAAGTGTTTACGGAAGTTCCTTTATGAGCTTTCCTGCCTTTGCAATCTTCCCACCACTGATCTTTCAAGCTCACATTCTCAAGAGAACACTGCTTTAGTCACACTTACATTCCATCTGTGAAACCTTACTGTTGAAATGTTATCTCTCCTTTAAGACATAGCTGAAGAAAATGTTGCCCCAACTATCAGTACCTTACTTCAGCTGAAGAATTTAAGCAGAAGATCGGAGCTGAAGGTCATACCGTCTGGATTAGCTGGCACCACTCTACAGCATGATTGCTGTCTTCTTTGTGGCCAGGTCAACCAGTTGCCCGCAGCACTGAACCACACCAGCCTGATTCCCAGGTACACAGGCCTGGGTTGTCACCACCACTTTACAGTCTGTGAGCTGTGGTCTCATGGTCCAGGGCTCTGGACAGAATTATCAAACAGTGATTCCTGAAGGGGTCACTAGTTCAAGGGGACGCAAGTGTGGGAGAGCAACTCACTTGCCCGTTGACACCTGAGTCAAAGTCCGACATGATGATCAGGGTGATTGCTGTTCCCACCTGAGCATCTTCTAGCACAGGGAATGACAAGGAAGTAAAAATCGTTATCTCCAGGATATTGTCGTTCACATCTAGAACTTTCACTCAGACCACTCTATGACCTACCATGGAAGGAACTCTTATCAATTGTGTTGACCTGAATTTCATATTCCCTGTTCTCATCAAAATTCAGTTTCCCATCAATTCTAACCCTACTTGGATCTGTATTTATTTAAAACTTAAAGTTCTCACTAGTAGGCTGAATCATTGAGAACCCACAGGAAATTTCTCTGTTCTGAACTTCTAAATCGGAATTGGTTAGTTGAATTACTAAGTGTCATTTTTGTTGTTGTTGTTTTGTTGTTTCAAGTGGGTTTATCAAACTCTGGTGCATTGTCATTCATATTCACCATGGTCTATTGATTTTTTTAAATTTTTTGTTTTGGGGGATTTGTCTTTGTTTGTTTGTTTGGTTGGTTGGTTGGTTGGTTAGTTGGTTTGGTTTGGTTCTTCATGGCAGGGTCTCTCTGTGTACCCTGGAATTCTATCTATAGACTATGCTGGCCTTGAATTCAGGTATGGACCATTTCCACCTACCTCAGGATGTTATTTGGATCTGAATAGATCCTGTTAGCTCTCTTTACCACCCTTAATGACTGTTACAACAGCAGAAGTTCTGATGTTACCTCTCTGTTCAATGACTTCCAAAGAATCAGAACAGGTGGTATTCTTTTATCTGTTTGTTAATCATTATTTTAAGCAAAAGTGCTCATTGAAACTTAATATATAGGAAAACAACATAAGTCAATATCAGCTTCATAAGTGCCCTGTAGAGGAAGTTGAGTTTCCAGAGAGGCAGATTCAGAAATAAGCAGCTTTTGGGGGGGGGGTCTGGATGAAATGGCTCAGTGTAAATAGCTTTGACTGCTTTTCCAGAAGATCACATGGCAGCTCACAACTGTCTGTAATTCAATTTCCAGGGTATCTGACACCCTCACACAGACACACATGTGGGCAAAACACCAAGACACATAAAATAAAATGACATAAATCATTTTTATAAAAAATTCTCTTTCTCTAAGCATGGGAGAATTATCATTGACCTCCTTGAAGACCTCCATCTCTACACGGAAAACCTGCAGAAGCCAGTCCAAGGTCACCTCCAAGGTGGATGCTACACTCTGCTCCCCACTTGCACTGAGTCTCCAGGTTGATTGGAGAATGCCATTCTGCAGATTCACCTCAGGAAGGTCCCCTTGGTCCTTGGACGCCACCCTGAACAGGAGGGGCACCAACTGCGCTAGTACCAGCCCCAGGTCCTGAGCGATGTCGTCCACAAAGGTGCTGCGTTTGTCCTTCACGATGAGGGAATAGCTAGAGATGGCCACTCCCTGCCACCCAGACTGCAAGGAGCAGGAGAGAGGACAGCAGACACTGGAATCTCGGGCCTTTTCATCAAGAAAATAGCATTACAGACATTAGCCGCCTTTTGGTTGGAACTGTGGGCTTTAAGGAAGCATTCATGAGATATTTTATATGCAGTCTCCATTTTCTGTTCATTTAAAGCTTCATAGAGTATTTTGGTTTCCGTGTAGTTTCATTTTTTCTGGGAATGGGTGGAATCTGGGAGCCGGAACCAAAATATTCTTCTTCCTCTTACTGTATAGTGACATCACGTGACTGATTATGTAAATACAAGAAAAATTGTGGGTTCTTGGTATGGATCACCATTTCCTAGGCCACTCTAATTCAACTTTTGAATAATCCCATGGATGATTTTGTGAATACTGTTTGCTTAAAATTTGAGCAGTTGCTTTGTGATTTAAAGATATTTTCTTTTTCAAAGTTTATCAGAAAATCCTCTTTGAAATAAGGTGTGACAGAAACTACTCCAATGTGTTGTTTTAGTGGAGAAGGATATACAGTGTGTGCACCCCTGACTTTTCACGGCCTACAATTCACAAAGCGATTTGTTCTTCTCAGGACTTTCTTGGAAACTTCTGGAGAAAATCAAGGATTCCACCATTTCATAAAAAGAATACTAGAATTGTTTAGCTTACTAAACAATACTCTATAAAGATTTTTATAAATCTAGAGAACACATCATGTATGTGAGAGGTGGTGCTTCTTGCTGTCTATTGCTTAAATATGGCGACTTCGTGCAGCTGTGACTCTCACGTATCAAATCAAAGCACATGAGTAGACTAATGGCAAGAATGAAACAGCTTCGTTTAAGACCCTGAATCAAGCTAGGGTGGTGGAGCACCTTTAGTCCCAGCTCTCAGGAAGCAGGAGCAGGCGGATCTCTGTGAGGTTAAACCCAGCCTGTTCTACAAAGTGAGTTCCAGGATAGCTAGATCTCTGGTACATAACAGAAAAACAAAAACTAAAATGCTAAATC